CACACAGATACAATGGAAAAATACCTGAGCTCTCCCTATTTATTGTGACAACCCGTCTTTGTCAAGCCCTTGGCAAGGGAGTGACTTCATTCACTTTTTATTCACTTAAGATTAAGTGTGTATTTCACATGAAACTGAAAGAAAGGGGCAGGATGAAGGAATTTATAAATACCAAAAAACACCAAAGCACCATGCAAATTGTTACAACCAGGGCTGAGACAATGAAATCCACAAGTGCCATTTTTCACAATGTGACAAGGAACCAAATTTCCAGTTGCAAAACTTAAAACTGCAAGACTCCTACCTTGCTATTAACACTGTACTGATTCAAACACACTTTTCCCATCCCACTTCATCACTGTAGAGACTGAATAAACCAACAGCTGATGGAGAATTTCACAGGAAACTGGATCCCCTATCCTGCTTCACTGGCTCCGTGCTGTAGATTATCTACTGCAGGAACTTCACAAAGGCAAGTAAACAATGGAAACACAGAGGTAGCTGGATTCCATCCCATCTCATTTCTCTCACAAAAGGAGCGCAGCCTGGCAGACCTTTTTAAGTACTAACACCAGCCCTAATGGGACGAAGGATCCTGTTTTCTACCGCAGGGGGAACTGCAGTCAAGTGGCATTTGTATGTTACAATGCATTTACAGTAAGTACCCTATGTTACACAGACAGTACCTCAAGGGCTGCCCCATAGTTCTCCTGTAGATGGCAAAAAAGCCAAAATAAATGATTCTGCTTACAAGTGAAACACAAAGTAATACATTATTTCTTCTAGAAAAGCCCAGTTAGAAGATTATGCTAGGATGACATTTCATACTCAAAGAAAGTACACAAAGACTATTCTAGACCATTCTAGCATCAGATATACAGTAGGAGAGGAGGTTAAAACTTCAAATACTTATTTTTAACTTTCTTCAAAACTTAAAGCTTGAAGTTTTTAAATAAAAAGAAGGTTGTTTCTATAGGTTTATCCTTTTAAGGGGATTTTCTACAAACATCTTTCAGCAAGTATGAATTTACTTTTATGGGTTATCACTTCCCACACACTGTCCTGCCAGAATACGAAGCACAGTCTTTGAAATGTAAATGTGTCATTAGCTAAAGAAATGTTGAACATTAAAGTCAAAAGATGTGCATTTGTATGTGGTCCATTAAAAACATGTAATGCCGCAACACCATAGAGTAGAGGAACAACATGTTTTTCAGTGATATTACTATAGCTGTACACAGTAATATAATAGGAATCCTGCTTTTATTTCTTTTCTTTTTTATTGTTATTGTATATAAAATTCGAAAGCTCTAGGAATGACAAAGGTGCTGCCTGTGAAAAGAAGTATTGCTTTTCCTGCCTTTGTATTCCTAATTTTATTTTTATTGTTCGCACTGTTATCCTTTATTTTGCATTTACATAGCAAAGCAAGTGGTAACACTTTACAAGTTGTAAATGTCATTTAATAAATGCAAACCAATTGAATTATTAGGACTCAATTAATAAATCACTTATATCCCAATAATTCCGTCCTTAATCATTAGTAGAGGTTAGCTCCTACCAGGTTATTGACTCTACATTCCTGCCTTGTTTACGGATAACAGGATATGAAGAATTTACAAATAGAACTCATAACCTCAATTTGACAATTGTAAACTCTGAGATCTAGTTTCCAGAGCAGTAAGCTTGTATGTTCAACTCTGTGGAAAACTGAATTAGCAACTCCCTTTGAAACAAATGCATTTTAACATTATGCAGTAAATACATTTAGCATTCTATATACAGTATTTGAAAAGTACTTGCAATTTTGT